TTATAAAAAGAAAAGGTTTTCCACATATGCAAAAAGTGCCCTTTTTTCCCCCTGGAGCACTTGCCCCCCAAAATGTCTGTGCACGCCACTGATGGTCAGTAATACGCAGGGGTATTCAAGGATACCCCGACAGATTCAGGGGGCCCAGCACTTGAGAAGGGCCCTTGTATACGTTAAATTATACGTAAAATTTGGCGGGGGGTGGGGTTGCTAACATTTTACCAAGGGGACCGGAATTTCCAGGCACGTCCCTGATAATATGCATTCAAAAATATATTTTTGTATTTTTTGTAGTATAAAAGAACTTGTTTCGATGATGACACCGGAGAACACAAACAATATTTAAATAAAGTCAGTTAATTTATAGTGATTTTGTTTATTTATTCGAATGAAAATTGTAAAATAATGACGAAAATATACAACACAATTTATTAATAATAAATACACATAAGCCGACAATTCATAATAAAACGAAATTAGTTAGATTATTGATCGTTAAGGCGGTTCGTATTTTTAAATTATCCGTAAATGTCATTTTCCCCACAAAATAGCGTTTTTTGGTTAAAGCGCATTAAGAGACGCAGCACGTCCATAAGCCGCTGTCTTATTAAACAGCATCGCCTGCTGGTTGTTTGAAGTGCTACTCCTTCGACATAATGTTAAAGAGAAATGTGCTTTCTGCAGTGCAACAAAAACCTATTTAGATTGAATTAATTCGATAGCTATTTAAACATGCATTGTCAATGCTGTTTTTATGTCTTCGCATTTTCCATTTCAAAGTGTTCCAAGCACCCCTCCAACTTCTAAAGGAGTTCAATAGAAATAGCATCCATTAACCAGAGAGACAAGAAACCACACAGATTCCGGGTAAAAGATAACTCTTTTTAATCCAGGACACAACTGTTACGTTCGTTAATCAAATAGAATACAAACTGGCTTTTGAAAATAAAAGCAAATGTTACTGCATTTTTTTCTAAAACATTGCTATCATTTTCAATAAATAAGCTACTTTTTACAATGACATTACAAGAGAGTAAAATTAAATAATCAAAAAACAAGTCAGAAAAACAGGAAAATAATGGATGGATGTACATATTTAAAAGCAGAATACACACAAATGAAAGCAAGTTTTATTGAGACTTGTGGACTAATAATAGTATCCAATCACATTCAATATTCAAATGTAACACTAGTGAACTCTGTTGACTGACAGTAAGAGCTTGTTCATATATTAGCTTCTGTTTAAAGTGCACAACTAAGGACTGTCTGCAAATATTTAGTGCCTTTAGCAGAAGGTAGGCAGCATAATTTGTACGATTGACACCTTCGTAAACAACTTCACCAGCCATTTTTATTAGTTAATCTCATTCATTTATAATTGTTTCATCTAGGATACATAAGGAATACTGCATTCACAAAAAATCTGTCTGTTAAATGTGTGAAAGTAAGGTAATCCGTGGCTTAACATCATTAAGGGCCGGATAATCTACCTCTTCCAAGAGGTTTTCTGTTTTATTTTATCTCGAACGACTTATTGAGGGCTCTGTTGTGATCTTAGCATTGTGGATTCAAACATCCATACATTCAATCATTGCCTAGTCTATGCAAGACAGCATGTGAGGCAGTGCCAATTAACCTCTCCCTGTATGTGCGTCTGTAACACATACTCACTAAGAACCATAAGACACATAATGACAGAAACAGGAAAATCCTGTTATATTCAAGTCAGAGCAGAGCTGCAAATTCAGGGAACTGGAGAAACAGGAGAGATTCACAAAGCTGAAAAACTGTGACAAGACAAAGAAAGACAGACACAAACGTTAAGGTGTGCAGCCATGGAAACACGGGTTAAATAGTAATAGCAGCAGTCAGTGAGACAGTTTTAGTTATAGATTTAGTTTGGCTTTGTTTTAATTGTTGTTCTACTATATCTTACATTTGGTTCAATATGTGTGATTGTTGCTGTAGATGCATCAAGTCTTTGAGGCCATATTACTTTCAGGACTTCAACTTGATTAACATGGGAGCCAAATCAAGACCACTGCATGTTAGTGAACACTCAGACTGACAGCCAAACATCCCTGTAACAGATAAAGTATGAAAATAACAGCAAAAATATACGTGACACCCAGTGATCAACAGATCCAATTAAAAGGGGACATTTTTACAACTTTAGGACCACTAAAATTTCAGAAATACACATCTGTATACAACACTGCTGTGGTTTCTTTTGCCTCAAAATTTAAAACTTCTCTAAATCTCCTTTACATGATAATTAATATTATAGTGTATTGTTGTAGCAAAGAAATATTTCATTGTCATAAAGTTCATGAACTGAAGTAAGATCTCCTAAAATTTAATTATATACTACAAAGATCTTTTTCTAGTTGGAGAACTTGAAGTATTAACTTGGTGGCAGACAGCCTCTGTCCTGGTAGATCAAACTGTTATGGATTATCATGTGTTATATGCGTCATCCTCTCTCCATCCACCCACTCATCCTCTATAACCATGTATCCAGTGCACAGTGAACATGGATCTTATCCCAGGGAGCACAGTGAACAAGGCACTGGAACCCTAGTGGAACCCTAGAGCAGTGTTTCTCGGGGACCCCCAGACGGTCCACATTTTTTGATCCCTCCCAGCTCCCTGCCAGAAAGTTCACATTTTTTGCAAGGAGGGAGCAAAAACATGGACTGTCTGGTGGTCCCTGTGGATCCGGTTGGGAAATAGAATGACAGTCCACCCCAAGACACACACTTACACTATGGGCGACTGAGAAAATACCAATTCATCTAAACTGCATGTCTTTGAATAAGAAACAAGAGCATCCTGGAGAAATCCACAAAACAAGGAGAGAAGAAGCAAACTGCACACACAATTTGCCAGACACCGGAGTCAGATCCACAGGCTACGGTCCCCCGTATTTCTCTCTTTAGCCTGAAATTCTGAAGTACTCACTCAGTCATCAAATCAGATCACCTTTGATTTTGCCCAAGCAATTAGACAACCAATAATATAACACAGTATTGACATTGTGTTGCTCCAGTCCTGCTTTGATACATTGTATATCGGCAGCTCAGATGGCAAGCATTGATTAAGCAGCACTGAGCACTGCTGTAATTCATAAAAATATACATTCAAAATCAGTCTACATCCAGAAATCCTTCACCTTGAGATTTAAGATGCTTGACAGAACATCCAAATTTAACCACAAACCTGTACCTCTCCAGGTGGAATCTGGTTACTTAATTGGCAACCGCAAACACTGAGATACAAGTGAGGTAAAGAACATGTTAGGCTGGTATCCCTTCCTGCCAATGAACACAGAGATATAACATACTCTATATTACACATAGAAAGACAAAACATCATTTGGAACCTTCATGTGTATAAGGGAGTCAAGTAAATTCTCTTGAATTCTGTTCATCGGGGTAAAGTAGCAGTTTTATAGCCAAGAATGTATACAACTGACCAATCATGACTCAGCACAGAAAGTTGGTTCTAGCTGGAAAATGACACGACTGGGAGTCCAATCTCTCACATCGCATTCAAATGTGATACCTTTGGAGAGTAACAGAATCCTGGAATGTGACATCAGTGTTGACAGAACATAATGTGCTCGCTGGGATCAGAATAAACCAACACACAAGAAAACTGACACTTACGTGACTGTGTCACCTACATGTGATCGCCTTTATGTGTACAGGTTAAACAACAGCCCCTACTGGAATTTGCTTAAAAAAAACACCATTGGACTACAACTTTCATCAGATACGTTTTAACAGAAATCTATCCTTCTCTGGCCGTAGCATTGAAGCACTGTCAGCCTCCTCACAGTTCCCTTTGTAATGCCTGTTTTCGTTCAGGTTTTTTCGTCTGTCCCAGCGGGGCTCAGATACGCCCGTTACCCTGGGCACTGCCCCAGTGGGGCTCAGATACGCCCGTTACCCTGGGCACTGCCCCAGTGGGGCTCAGATACGC